AAAAAAAAAAAAAAAAAAAAACTCAACCCAGTCTCAATTCGAATAAACAACTCGACCTAGCAATCCAACGATTCTCGTTCGATTCGACGTAAACCTTGCTATCTCGTTTCATTATCAATTTAACGAATTTTGCGGTTCATCTCTCGCGTGTCTATCGATAATTCCAATGGTTGTATCGATACTTGTCTAAACTCGGTATGCACTCGGCCTTAAAGTCGCTACCAGGAAGGGTAGAAAGGACTCGATCGATGCGTGGACTCTGTCTACGACGTACACCACGCAACAGAGACGGGTAGAGAGGAGAAGCAAGGGGGAACGAGATGGAGGGAACACGAGGAGGAGACACGAATCTCCCCTTGGTCGAGAAAACACGTCGTTCGTATTCCATCCGTGCGATCCTTCTTCTCTCTCCTCATTTTCGCGTGTTCGAACGATAATAAGAGAATTTCACTCAACAATTCTACGATACAATCCTCGTATCAAAGAGATTTACCTGCCTTTCTGAATAATTTTTCTTTAATCATCTGGACGAAAGAGATTAGATGTGGTAAGATAGAGACTGTTTAATTTCCTTCTTCTTCTTTTTTTTTCTAGAAAATTTGTCTGGATTTGTAAAATCCAAAGAAAGAGTGTTGAGAGAATGTTAATATTGTTGTTGGAAAGATATTTTGAAACTGGAATAAAATTTTATTATTGGGTCAATCGATGATGATGGAGAGGAGGATGATCAACCAGAGATAACTATTGGATAAGAATTACTGTTGTCAGCGATCTTTGGCCACTCAACGCCAATCTTAATTTTCCTCGAGGAGCTCGAGTTTGATTCCGATTGATGATTCGCCGTATTTTTTTCTTGGGAAATAATAAATAGGTCAGAACGATACGTTTGGTTGGATCAACGAGAATGGATTGCTTAAATAACAGTGACATCATAGCAATTAAAGTAGCAGATAAATCTTTCTCAGTGACGTACAATTAGCATCGCACGAAAATTTATAATACATCGTTACTTTTTCTTCCATTCGAAAGCGAGAACAATTTTTTTATCCCTCCGTGATATCTCGATGGAGATATTAACATTTTCAATAATGGATCTCAATCAAAATGCCTTGATAATTACCAATTGATTCAAAATTCTCTCATTTTCTTGTTTCAATTAAACCCTCGATAAATATGGATCGTTCGAATCGATGGAATCGTACCGAAGGAGAATCGCTGCTCGCGAATCACGTTACGAAGGCAAATCGAGAAAATCACCTCCGATTATTGCGCTAAATGCTTTCCTCGGAGCGGTTTGAGAATCGAGGTAAACGGATGAGAAAACAGAAACCTTAGGAAATAAGTAGGCGTCAAATAACAGAGGTGAAGTACAAGACGAGTAAAACAGATACGCACAAGGTAATCCACTGTTGGTTTCAATCTCGAGGGAGCGATCGAGAGGAGGAAAGTTGCGCTTCACGGCGTTACTTAGTCGTTTTTCGACAAACCGACGGCCGTAAATTTTACCAACGTCCAGATAAGCGGTGCAAAAGTCGGTTAGGAAGAATAATAAATCAGGAGGATCGTATAAATCGATCTAGGTAAGAAGAAAAATTTATTCGAGCGTCAATGAGATAAAGCGGTTTTCGTAACCGCTGCAAAGGTTATAAAGATTCTTTTTTCGAGTTAAAAAGAAAATGGAGAAAAATGTACGATTCCTGTTCTTCAATCATCTCGTTATTTCATTCCTTCACTCTCGATCTCCTTCGATTTCGCCAATCGCGATTCTCAAAAAACCCGCGAAAACGCAACCCCCATGCCGGAAACGGGGCTAGAAGGCAGCGATCGATTAAACGTTTTCCCGTCGGCGCCTGCCAAACCTATCCAAAACATCCCTCGTTTCAATCGTACCGAACTGAATCCATTCCGAAAAAAGACGCAACCTAAATTCCTAAAATCTCTCCCTCCCTCTCTCTCTCTCTCTCTCCCTCTCTAAAAAAAAATCAACGTATAACGAACCGAGAAATCCGGATGCAACCTAGGGATAACAAGAACGAAACGACGAACGAAAGATCGTCTAA